GTTTTGGCTATGATTTGGGAATATGAAAAAAAAAATTTGGAGTAAGACGGATTCTAGGAAACCTTATGATAAAACTAGGATTGAGTTAGCTATGATACCAAATGATACCAGAACTAATCAAAACCATGATAACAAAAACAAATTTTATTAAGTAAATTATTAGGGTTGCAAACACTATTCAAAACTAAAATGGAACTCAAGAAACACTAATCTAATGCTAGGATTGGATAAGGAGATCCGAGGGCAGCAGTGGTGTTAGCGAGGTGGTCGGGAGTAGGTGTGGTAGAGGGCGTGGAGTTTGTGTTTGGAATGGTTTGGTATGGTGGCCAATGATCAGGATTAAGGGGAAGGGCTGACATCAAGAGGAGGTGGCAGCAACAACTGGGGAAGGTGGTATGAGGGCCGTGACACTTCAGGGAAGGTGGTAGGAAGGTGGCAAGGTGAAAGTTGGGTGGCTGAAGAGATTGGACAACAGGTGTGGCTGTAGGAAAGGGGGCAACAGAGGAAAATAGAAAGATGTAGGTGCAGGCCGGTGCCTAAGGGTGGTAAGGGAGAGGGCAGAGAGGCAATTGGAGAGAATACAACACCACCTTGGATTAGGATATAACCGAAGTACCACCTGTCATCGAATATAGCCCTAGCATGGGAAGAAGACTCCACGTTGAAATCTCAAAGAAAGACACACAATAACATAACCCTAATTTCAACAAACATGCATATAAATAGAGAGAGAATGGGGGGAAACTAAAAATGAAATGGTTGGGGTGGGTCGGGGGGGTGGGGCTAAGCCGGTTCAGCCAGCTCCTCACAGCCCCACGTCACAGCAGTATATCAAAATATTGTGAAATACATAACCACAAATTTCCATATGAACGCTCAAAAAACCTAGCTAATTAGCCTGATAAAGGTACTTAGGGCTTTGGAAAGATTAAAAGGCATGTTCGAACATTCATATAATCCATCTCCAATCTTGAAAGTAGTCTTTTACTTATCCTCGAGTCTCATTTAATTCTGCTGATATCAATTACAATGCTCAATCTTAAAGAAGATGTAGATCTTTGCATTTATCCAACAAATCATCCACTCATTGGTTGAAGAATCCATCTTTGATGGTGATGTTGTTCTAAACTTTTTTATCAAAGCACATACTCAATGATCCATCATCCTTGCACACAATCAAAGTTGGTACAACACACGGGATTGTACTCTCATGAATTAGTTCCAGAGCCATATGATCCTCAGCCTTCTTGTGGAACACTTAGTAATATGATGATCGTATCTTCTAAGCTGGTCGTTAGGGAGCATCACTCTTGGAATGATATCTATGGTTTGTTAAATTTCTCATGGTGATGGTAATTCAGGTTATAGGATGTTGTCCAGAGCATCCTGAAACTCCTCCAACAAAGATTGCATTGCCTTAAGTTTTGGCTGTTTTAGCTTCCCTCTAGCATCACCAAGTTATTCCCACTAATGCAGCTTTCATGGCCTGTAGAACTATAATGTGATGTACTATAGATCCAATTTCTGCTTGAGCACTCATGACAATATATTATTTTAAATGTAAAAATACAATGCATTTCCCATCATTGATGACCATGAGTATGTGTTCTTGTAATGGCCATCATGAAGTATGCATCTGACAAACTGCCATAATCGAGCTAACTTGATTTAGCCGACATTCATTAGCCGGCATTCATAGGCATGACATTATATCCCCAATAAAAAAATTTACTAAACACCTCTTGTCAGTATTAAAATCATTCTTTTTTTTTCCCCATCTTAGTCTGAGAGCATGGCTTGAAATGTTTTTGGGTAGTTAGGCTTAACTCGTCTTTCATCTGGTCAGATATCACATTCTCACTACTATCATCATCAATAATCAACCAACATGTCTTCCCCTTTATAGTACGAGTACGGAAGATGTTATGCCTATGAAACCATTACTCTATCTTGGGTTCAATTGGAGAACTCATCGAACCACAAATATCTCACTCATTTATGGGAAGTTGATACTCATTTTCATTCTTCTCCTTTATGGAGCTTGCATTAGCTAGTTTTTCCACTGCGCCTGAAATAAATTATTATTTTTTTAAAGTTGGATGATATGTCCATCTTGATAACAATTGAAGCCTTCTTGGATATAAAGGCTTGGGGGTGCTGGATTGATCAACCTTTTCTCCTTCCAATTCTGATTTTTCTTTTCATGGGCTAAGGCTTTAATACTCTTGTCAGTGTGTTTTTGCTGCTCAACCCTGTAGCTGCACTTTGCTTGAAGGTTGGGTTGTTATATATGTTGTTATATTGCTTCTATGCCTTGATGGTTAAGATCTGATGTTATATTGCTTCTATGCCTTGATGGTTAAGATCTATACATTTAATATGGACTAGCAGGGCTGTAATTACACCACATTACTACTGAAAGGGATCAAATTGTCAATATATCGTGCTGTAGTGCTCTCCTTTGGCTCCACCAACTCATATTTTAATGTGAGTTGTTGAAAGTCAGCGGATGTACCCTTCCATGGATAGGTTTTTTTGTTGTAAATGGTGAAGCCTAAAAAAACCTTGCCTGTTATATTCTGGGAGATATTTCCATTGTATCTCCTTTTTCATCTTAGGCTAAGTCATGCTTTTTCTCTCACTTACACGTTGGTGTAGTTGCTTTAGGCTCTCCCATCATAAGGACACTTTTTGAGTTTAATAGCATCCAATTTAACTTTTTTGTCCGGTGGAATATCTTTGTATTCAATAATCCTTTCATTGGCTGGAGCTATTTAATGAACTTATTTGGTTTTATACGGCCAATAAAACCTAGCAAATCAATCTTCACGCCAAAGTCACTCTCTTCATGGGTACTCAACTGCTTTCAAAATCAGTGATCCTACACTATAATTAGAGAATCTCTCTTTGCATACCTTTTATGGTATGTTCTTGAACATCTCGTGGAGGATTTTTCCTTGGAGGCATTGTGGATTTCTTGTTGGGATTTAGCCAAGGGTGGTGGGTTTTGGGTTGGCCAAAGGTGAGAGGAGTTAGGGTTAGGGTGGAGAAGGGATATTTGTGTTCGTAGATGGATTTTTTTATCTGGATTTAGAGTTTGGAGTTGAGGATAATGAATCCATAAAATTTTTGGGTTTATATGGCTCTGATACCAAATGACATTTATATCGAGTTTCTAGATGGTGTTTTAGGATCGATAAAGAGGTTGGGTGTTGTGAGATGTGAAGGAAAGGGGGGAAAAATCTAAGAGACAAAGTTATTTTGAGGAGGAAATAGTGCAATTGCTACTGCCCCTGTGAAAAAACCCGTAAGGAGAAAGAGACCGACAGCTAGGTCGGCGATATATGGACATCGAAAGCTTTCAAAAACTTCTTTAGATCAAGATACAAACTCAACACTTGAAGGAGAAGAAAGCTACATGTCACACCCCACCATTTCAAGAGGGTTTAGCTATATCCCTTCAAAACATGAAAACACAAATTCTAGAGAAAACCAGAAAGAAGAAGTTCGACCTAAGAAACTCTAGAAGTTTCCACCACATTTTAGGAAATATTGGAAGGAAGAAACTTAAAAGAGAAATTCTAGGGTAATTTAGAAAAATCTAGAATCTTGTGTAAGGAATTATGTAGAACAATCTAGAAACTAAAATATTATAATGTAATCTGGAAAGTTCTATTGGTCTTGAGGGAGGGCTATAAATATAGCCCCTTCCCCCTCATTTGGAATCACCTAAGGTTTCTAATCAACAAGTTTATAAGTTTTTATTCCTTAGTGAAGTGTTCCTTTTATTTTCTACAACCTCTCCTTACCCCTTCCCCCTCATTTGGAATCACCTAAGGTTCCTAAGCAACAAGTTTATAAGTTTTTATTCCTTCGTGAAGTGTTCCTTTTATTTTCTACAACCTCTCCTTACTCCTTTCTTAGAGAGCTTTATTGTGTTTTTAGTCCAAGCACTGTGAGGGTTAGACTGACTTTGTGCTATAGAAGAGTGCTAAGGCCATACGAGTGACTTGAGAGAAATTTGTCCATGAAAGTTGATATCATAGCCAAATTAAAAGCATGACTAATGATTGCAAAAAGCATGCCATGGGTTCCGAGACCGCAATGTGGAGCCATCACACCAAATACGAGGAACAATATGATCTTGCTGCATCTAAACCACATGAGAGTTCTAAGAGCTTATCTCTGGTTTTGACTTGCACCTTGTTCGGGTGGAGGAGGTTATGAATGACACATTTCTTAAGGGCATTTTTTGGAATTACTTTTGTTATGCATTCTGACTAAACAAGTTATTTTAGCGCTTAAATATCTTCGGAATAATAGTAATATTCATATTTTGAGGAGCATTTACCTTTTCTCTTGTCACAACTTATTTAGCTCCTGAATTCTCATTTGTCAAAACTATGTTTGGGTTTTAAAGTTCATGTACGATAATTATTTCCTTTAATTAATGGCTGTTTTACTTGAATCCGAATGGCCCAATTACAAGTTTTAGCCTGCCATCCGGGTTAAATTTTGATTATACAATCTCATTTTTTTGTATTGATGTAATTTCACTCTGCAGATAACACGTGCAGAGCAAACTTATTTGCAAAAGGGAATCAGAGATTGCCATTGGACATGAAAATAATCCAAAAGGTTGCTTGCTTTCGAAAGGAATAATTCACAATGAGACTGCTTTTGGAACAAACGTAGGTATGAATGCATGAGGCAGCCGAATTCTGATATTGAATTTTTTTTTGGATAACATGCAGGGTTTGGAAAACGAAGGACTGTCATGTGCTGTTGAAAATGGGATGGCTGATTCTCATTGGGTTGGAGACTTTAGCTGGGCGAACAGCAGTGCTCGGGAGGAAATGGAATATGAAACTGCAGATATAAATTTATCATGTACAGAAAAAGAGTTCGAGCAATTTAAATCCTTCTTTTCCAAGTTTAAGGTTGTAGCAAGGGAGTTTTTCCTGCCTCCTGAAATGATAAGATTTGGACTGATAACTGAAAGATCGGTGCTGCCCTATGTGGGTGTTAGCGCCATGGGAGCATGGTTTGCCACACTTAAGTTCAATGGATGCTCTAGTTGTTCAGTGACACTGAAAGAAGGGGATGATCTCAAAAAGGCCTTGCAAGAGAACCACTCTCCAGTCATGCAGGTAGGTTTTTTTAACATTGTTAACTATCTTTTTCAATCGCGGTTCTAAAGTAATTACGGGGAATACTTTTTATTGCTGCTTCTGCTTAATACGACATTGGTTGATGTAATTTGATGACATATTATGCTAATGTTTGCAGTATATCTTATTAGAACCTTCCCAAGTTAGTTTACTTCTTAGTTTCACTTCACCTAGCCTTGGTTGTTGCTATGACTTTAGAAATTGTTTTCATTCGTTTAGGCGCACCTCTTCATGCTTGATTAGAGGCTTCTCGGGTTAAGTGTACTGGTAAATGGTAGTAGAATAGAGGTTTAAAGGTTTAATACTGTCTGAAATGAATCAGAACAAAATGTAACACTTTTTTTTCTCTTTCTTTTTCATTACCTTGTTCTTACTCCTTATGGTTTGTACTCACCAATGGAAGGTCAATCGTTAGTTGCACTTTGAAGTATTATTTTATGCTCAATGCATTTACTAAAAAAAATATTAGGGGTGCTGATAAATAAATACATATGTGCCAGCACTTTGCAATAGTAATTTATTGTAGTTAATCAATTGTATGTGGTATTGACTTTGAAATTTATGTACGAATCCAAATTCTCTTGATTACTTTTACACAATTATTAAATGTTGTATGGTATATTATTTTTGTAATGTCTCTTGCTAATGCTTATTTGCTATAGCTATATGTTGACAGACCCAAACTTGAGCCTGCTTTTCCATCAAACAGACCTTCAGTTGTTCTCTTTATTGATAGATTATCTGATTCGCTAGTGATCAGCGAAAAGAGTAAGTTAGCGCTAGATGCTCTGAGGAAGCTGAAGGAGCATTATCAGCCATCTTACACGGTGAGTAGAGTTGTAAACCTTGGTTATCCTCGAAGTACCGCAGTACAAGCCGTTTCTGAAAGTCAGGGCCCTGTTGTTTTAGACCCATTGAATCTTCATTTTTTGGAAGATTCTCTGGACCCTAAGTTAGTTAAAACCAAGGATAATGTTCCTATTGTAATTAGCAAAGGTCAAAGCATATTGTTAGATGGAACTGGTTCTTCTGCTCAGGGTAATGCAGTATATGATGCTTTGTTAGGTTTTATCAACAAGAGAAATCTCAAGAGGAAAAAAGAAAGTAAAATAAGTTTGCTAGCGAAGGAAAATGGTTTCCAGTTATTATCTGATGATTTTGAAGTCCAGGTAATAGATTCTTCACCATCTTACAATCAATACAACCAATTGAGTGACATGAATAAGAAATTGGTAACAAGCCTAGGAAGTCAAACTTTGGAGCTTCATCAACCACCAAATGAAGATTCTGTAAACAAACTGGATGATTCACTAGCTGCTATTGATGTACCAGTAGTAGATGATGGTATACAACCTGCACATGGAGATTCTGAATATGACATTCAGAAATATCTGGAAGTGGAAAAACATAACCCAAATGAACTTGGTGTGCAAGTTCAAGAGACCAAGGATGCTTTTGGCAAATATTTCAGTTCCCTAGTCAATGAAGACGATAAAAATTATGTGGTTGAGCAAAAAGTGCCCTCTGTTGGGACATGTATGGATAAAGATACTGTTGATGCTGTTGGTTGCAGCTCAAGCTGTAGAGAAACTGCAGAAAAAGTGTCACTTCTTGATCCTATTGAGGATTTCAGTGGAAATGATGGGTCTCAGGTTGAGAAAAATGTGAGTATGCCGAGTGAGGATCAAATTCAGCATCAACCTTTTCAGTTTTCCTTTTTCTTTATTGATGGTGGATATCGATTGCTGAATTCACTGACTGGCAGTTCAAATATTCCCTCTCTTGTTTTACTGGATCCTATTACGCAGCAACACTTTGTCTTTTCTGAGGATCGAGACTTTGATTACTATTCCTTGTTTAATTTTGTGGAGAAGTTTTTAAATGGAAGTCTCTCTCCATATCAACCGTCAGCATCTTCTATAGCGAGTTTCAAGGAGGCTCCACAACCACCATTTGTGAACCTGGACTTCCATGAGGTTGATGCTATACCTCGAGTGACGACTAGCACATTCTGTGAACTCGTTTTTGGTTTTAATCCTTGCAATACTGGAAGTGCATTTCCGACTTCCCAAGTGAAAATTTTTGGGGCTGCCTGGAAAACTGATGTCTTAGTTCTCTTCGGTTCTTCATGGTGTGGATTTTGCCAAAGGATGGAGCTACTTATACGTGAAGTATATCGATTTTTCAAAAACTTGAAGAATATATTGAAATGTGAATCTGGTGTCAACAATCCAGTGTGCTTTGAAGGTATTTACTTGTTGTTTTACTTATACAAGTAGCTGTTGTTAATCCTACGAGTCTCTCTCTCTCTCTCTCTCTCTCGCTCGCTCGCTCGCTGGAACTGCTGATTCATTGATTGAATAATTTTTCCAAGTGTAAATTTGCTGTTAGTATTCAAAAAACAATGCATAGCTCGCTCGCTCGCTTGCTGGAACTGCTGATTCATTGATTGCATAATTTTTCCAAGCGTAAATTTGCTGTTAGTATTCAAAAAACAATGCATACAATATGATAGGAGGTTAGCTAGAAGCAAGTTTGCACAATTATGAAAGCAGGAGGTGCTGAAACGTTGAAGCTGCAATAATGATTTTTATGAATGTCATAAGCATTTTAGCAAATTTCTGCCTGCGTAGAGTTTTTCTTGCTGTACATACAAAATATAATTCATTCATATATGCACATAAGTGAATTGCATATGGATGTTGTTAGCTCTAGTATTCTGCCATCCTGCAGTAGCGGTAAACTTGCTGCAAAACTGTATACAATCTAAATTAAGAAGCATGCTGCCTTGTGATGGTATTGGATAGCAAACGGAGAATATGTGCCATCATCTTAATTAGTCTTATTCAAACCATAAAATGAATTAGAAAAAAAAATTAAGAGGCCAATATATTTGAGCATGCAATTGTTATACGCAATATATTAAGCACAATAAGATGTCTCTGTTTTTGGAAAATTTTCTAATCTGCAAGCCAAAAAGAGAGCTTCATTTTAAAATGGATCTTTAAACTAATTTTGAATTTTTATATTCTTTTTGTGGGATATAAAACTTTTTTTTATTTAAAGGCTACTAATTAGTAAACCCTCATGATGTGCTAATAAACAAAGAAAGAAAAATACTTGAGCGTGAGAACCCTTTGTGAATTCCATCAAGACGCTTTGCGTGTGCTTGTGTGCGCTTTTTTTTGTGTGCATCCACCACTCATCCAAAGGGCTTTTTGCACATACTCTTGCATGCATCCCGCTCACGACTTTGCGAGTTGTGCGTGCTGCATATGCTTGATGTATATCCTTCTAGCAGCTTGGCTAGCCTCTTTTTCCTTCTTCGAACTCCTCACTTCTCTATGAACGTCATTCTCTTTTTCTCGTTCCAATTGTTTTAGTTATCTCCTCACCTCTTTTTTTGTAGCTCTTCTCAGCCCACTTCATCTCTCCTTTCTTTTGCTCCGCGGTATCCCTTCTTAGTGGTTTCAAGGGTTTTGCTAGTTCCAACCTTTTCACAACTTTGGTCTTCAATCAACTCAAGTTTTCTTTGCTTTTGGGTTCTATGATTTTGATGGTCCCTTCTAACCCACCATCGCCACCCGCTACCCTAGTTGCCCCAGCCATTTTTGAGGTTCCTTCACCTTTTGTTTATACCTCTTGCTATTTTGCTAATTTAGTGGGTGGGTAGTCGATTCTAATTTCTATACAATCTTCATTACTCTTTCATGAAGTTGAAGGTTCTCATGTACACAAGCAAGCCTCCTCTTTCCAAAACAAACATGTACTTTCTTTAACTAATGCAAAGATCACAAAATTACCTTGACCATTCACTTTCACTATTGTTGTAAATTCTTTTCTTGTCATCTAAACATGGATATCTTTCACAAATTTAGACACGGATATCTTTGAGAAATTTATGTCAGATTTGCAATTCATCGGAGAATTTCAGTTAGTCTCTTAGATTGTTGTCGTACTATTATCAGACTTTATTGATAGTTAAATTATACCAAACTTTTTTTCTCGGCATACATATTATGTCAACGAGTTACTCAATTGAATCCCCCAAGTATATATATAATATGCATTCACAGGTAATAGTCATAACCACCGAAATTAGAAGTATACAATTGGAGCTTTGACTGCACTGAATGATGTAGCAATATTGTTAAGTTGTTTTGTTTGCACATGGTGACCTTTCGATGAGTTAAAAGTGAGTTGCCACATAGTTTATGTGTTCGTAAAAATTGTAGCATATATGCTCGGAAATGCATGATATGAAAAACATAGAAGTTGTAGAAATTTTGTTAGCTAAGAAACACCACCAAAATCATCCAATTCCATTAAGAAATTATTGCATTATGGCTGAAATAGCGAGATATTGCAAAACAACGAGTTACCCACTTGGGTCAGCTGTTGCAAAACAGATTTCAGTTTCTCGAACTTTTATAGAAAATGTAGCATATCCGGTCGTAATTCTATGAAATGGATAACATAAAAGTTGTAGAAAATTTTCTTAGCTTTCCAACACTACTAGAATCATTTCATTCTGCTAAGAAATGGTCTCGTTATGGCTAAAATAGCGAGATAGGGTCAGCTGTTTCAAAGCAAATTTTAGTTTCTCGAACAATCATAAAAGCTGTAGTAAATCAGCTTGGAACATAAAAGTTTTAGAGAATTTTGTTAGTTTTCTAACGCCACCGATATCATCCAATTCCGTTAAGAAATGATTGTGTTATGGCTAAAATCACAAGGTAGGGTAAGCTGTTGCAAAACAGATTTCAATTTCTCGAACGTTCGAAAAAACTCTAGCAAATCCTTTGGGAATTGGATGAGATGGATAACATAAAAGGTATCTAAAATTTTGTTAGCTTTCTAACGCCACCAAAATCATCAAATTCTATTAAGAAATGGTGTCGTTATGGCCAAAATAGTAAGATAGGGTCAGCTGTTGCAAAACAGATTTCAGTTTCAATTTGAAAAAAACTGTAGCATATCCTCTAGGAATTGGATAAAGTGGATAACATAAAAGTTATAGAAATTTTTTGTCATCTTTTCTTAGCCATCTAAATCATTCAATTTCGTTAAGAAATGGTCGCGTTATGGTTGAAATAGCGAGGCAGGGTCGGCTGTTATAAAACAGATTTCAGTTTCTCGAATGTTCATTAAAATTATAGCGCATCTGCTTGGACTTGGATGAAGTGGGTAACATAGAAGCCGTGGACAATTTTGTTCGCATTCCAGCACCACTAAAATCATTCAATTTTGTTAAGAAATGATCACATTATGGCTGAAATAATCTGATAAGGTTGGCTGGTGCAGAACAGATTTCAGTTTCTCGAACATTAAGAACTGGGCCGTATTCTTCTTCTGCTTCAAGTGGCAAATTATATCATTGATTACTTGAGCTTATATCTTCAATATGTAGGCGTGGACTTCTCCTGGTAGCAATGATGAGATTGCTAGTAGATTTCATGAGCTTGTTCCTGAGATGACACTTGATTTTTCTTGAGTTGCATGAATTTCAGGAGTTATGAGTTGAGTTTATTGTTATTTTATTCCACATTATTTTATTTTAATATCATTATTAGAAACACCATTTCAGCTTAATTTGGTTATTAGTGATGATGATGTCCCTCTTCCTTGTATGAACAAATAATACTTGAAGTTTATTATGGTACTATTGCTTGGTATATGCTCCTTTGACTTCATCTCCAAGTAAGATTGACCCTTCGTTTTTCAAACTTTAGAATTTTGTATGATGACTATTTGTTAATGGTAGTGTTTGCATCTAGGTTGAGCTTCTACCAATGCAAGACTTTCATGGTAGCTAGACCTGGTATTTTTTACAGTTCTGGACGGTAGGTTTGAAGCAGCATAAATTTTTTGTTTAATAATTATGATAGCTTATTATTTGTCAGGAAATCCGTAAAATAAGTACACTGAGTTCAGTTTCCCTTTTTGATTCGTAACAAGTGCAATTTTGAATGAAATTTAAGTATTTTTTAAGCTATTAAGACATTGAGAAGGAATGAAGAATTAACGTTTGTTTCTCTAGATTCATGAAATATGAATGGCAATTGCTAGGAGCTGGTTCAAACAAAAGAGACATTGAGAAGGAATGAAGAATTAATGTTTGTTTCTCTAGATTCATGAAGTATGAATGGCAATTGCTAGGAGCTGGTTCAAACAAAATCTAGAATAATGGTTTAAATTGACTTCTTTCAAGTTCCTCTAATTTGTGCATTGGGTTTTTATGCGATAATAAAAGATGTACTTTTGATTCAACGTTATTTCTTAGGCTATTCTTGCTTTCAAAGTCTCAATTACTTTCTCCTATTTTGGGAACATAGTATTTTTGTGAGTTTTGATATACTTATGATTGATTGTTATCAAATGGCTTAACTTTTCAATTATTTTATTGGGGCATTTACATGCGTACCACCAAAGTCCTGTATATTTGCATATCTTACATACAAACTTTACTTTCTTACATTTATACTGCTGAAATCTTTCAAATCACATCACAAATAACACTATTTTAACTTTTATCAAGTAAAATACATATTTCATACTTAGGTAAGGTGGCATGTATGTAAAATTTGAAGTTTAGGTGTTGGACATGTGAATACATAATAATTGAGTGGTATGTATGTAAATCTTTCATTTTTATTTTCCTTGTGAACGTGCAAATCATATAGCATTTTTTTTAATCCCCTCAAACAAATGGTATATGAGCTCTATGTATTTACATATGTAAAGTCTAAAATTCAAATATCAAATAAATTAAATTTTATATGATTTATATATCTTTATGAATTAATTTAACAATTTTTATATGACACTCTATTCTGCCAAATTTTTTATATTTATTTATGTTACATTCTAGGTTTAATTTTATATGAAAAATCATTAATATTAATTTATAACATATTAAATGTATTTCATTATGTATATTTTTCAATGTAATTTTATTTTAAAAGATTATATAAATAATTATGAGTACTTAAATATTGAATATGCAAGTTTATAAAAATTATGTAATATGTAACTAATAACCAGGGAAAATAATATCTCAGCATTTCATTTACAAACAACCAAACAACTTTTTATTATTCAGAATACATTGATTTTATTTTACTCTGCATGCATTAACTAAACAGAAAAAAAAAAAAATTCCTTGCACTTAGAATATACTGATTTTATTTTACTCTGCATGCATTGACCCAAAAAAAAAAAAAAAATCCCTCTACTTACTTTACAGACAACCAAACCTCTCGGTATTCAAAATACATTGCATACATAATACACAAAATTTCTTTTACACTGCATTCACTTTTCAGCCGACCAAACGACCTCCTAATCAAATGCCGTATTTTGAAATGTAGTATCTTTCGTTTGCATTGCTGTGGTAATGCAGGAAAACAAACAACTCCTATATCCATATATTTCTCCTCAATTTTATTCAATCAGCTTCTTTCACAACTTTATCATTTTACTACAAATGCTCCATTCCCATGACCACCCAACCGTCAACACCAATTTATTCTTAAATATTATGGCTAAAGGTTTTATTCTCAGGTCACGTGATATCCTCTTACTTTCAAGATTTCATGGGCTTAAAATGTTATTTTAGTGTCTTTTTTCACTCCATATCTCAATGGATATCTCACATGATCATGAAGTTTTAACAGATGTATCATATTTAAGCTAACTCAACCATCTTTGGATTAATATATAGTGTGATTGATAATTTTTTAATTTTTTTCTTCAGCAAAAAGATCTTTCTAAAAGCTTGGTAATATGTTTGTTGAATTTATCGTCTTCACTTCTTCATTCTTAAACAATATCCATATCTCTATTTTTAATACGTTCTTAGTTGATTCTTTGGTTATTATGATTTGTTTCCATTAAGTCTAGAATTTTAACTATCTTTTATAAAGCATTCTTAAACTTGATGAAACTTAGCCAAAATTATTTGTTGAATGACAACGTCATTAAAAATAGGATGATAACATGGTAATTTACATTTCCACATTATTTGAGACAATAATTGGCATAAAACCTATGTGAATTTTCGTTCTAAGTTTATCTTCAGACATTCCTTACACAATTGAATTCAGGGAGTTTGTGGACCTTGATTATTTAACTGGATTATATCTGAAGCCCACCTGAGATTTTTAGTTCTGGACTTCTACTAATATTCATTTTTCAAGCACCATAAAATTGATCATAAGTCCAAGAAACTAGGATAGTCAAATGCCCGTGACAGAAACCTCAAGCCCTGCCAATGCAGAGGACCACTCATGCTCGCTGCCTGCATAGTTGTAAAGCTGCATGAAAAAATTGAATTCCCATAAAAAGAAAATGAAAAATTAAAAAATAACCATGTAAGTATGTTACTTGTCATTTATCTCCACATAATTGTTATTATTTCTCTCTACTAAAAACATTTTTTTACTTCGTCAGCAAGCTAATTCTGGACTGGCTTTACATGAATAAAGTGTAAAACTTAATTTCAGATAGGGACATTGCCAAACTTTTACTTTGCTTCAAGTAAGACAACTCATTCGAGTTTGAAACTTCTACCTTCATATTTGTTTGACATTCTTAGAATGCAGGAAATATCAATTTATGCAAGTTCCGTTTTGCACTTTTTTATTCTTACCCCATTTTTTATTTTTTTGCCAAACTTGGGCTTTTATGAATACAGATTTCTAATTTATGCAAGTTCCGTTATATGTTTTTGCACTCTTTTATTCTTACCCCATTTTTTATTATTTTGCCAAACTTGGGCTTTTATGAATACAGATTTCACAAGGCCTCATAACTTCCCTGGGGCACATGCATGGATGACCATGCACATGTAAAACACACTTGTTTATACTTGAAAGGATTTACTGAGTTTTGTGGGCACAAAAGTGTTTTGTTTCGCTTAAAATCTTTGAACTGTTCCTTATTAGCAGAACTGTTTAGACCTGTTTGTATGATGAATTCATTATCTTTAAATGTATACCAGATAACAGAGGTGATTTGGTTGAATATAATTTACCCTTTATTTTCTTGATGGACTGCGCACAAAATGATTGTGGTTCCTTCCTGAAGTCAGCGGGCAGGGTATGTGTTCTATAATTTCTTATTTGTTAATTTGAGGATGAAGTTCTACGTTAACTTGAAGGATTCATCAGATTTTATGACTGTATTTTGTGTGGATATATATAAAATGATTCCATTGGTATGTTATATATATTGCTAATCTGATTGGATATATATAAAATGTTTTCAATATTTGTGTGCATGTATGTATGTATGTATTTATTTATTTATCATTCATATGCTACCTTTTGTTCTAAACATACTCTGTTAATTAAGAGGCATGCATGAAGTAACTATTCGTGGTAAATGATCTTGAAAACGGTGAATGACTTATTTTTGTTTATCATTTTTCCAACTAGAAATCGTGTTGTACTGGTATTTACTGCTTTGATGAGGTTATCTTCATCATAGATAGCTTTAAGTTTTTAAATTCAGTTTCGAAATTCGGTTTGGATTCATTGTTACATAAGTTTTTGTTTCTTTAGTTTTGATATTTTTTTCGTTTGATTTAGAGTATTAAAAACTAAACTTTAAATATTTTGCATTCACATTTTAATTTAGTAAATTTATGTATAAATTAAAATTGATATTAATATTTATGATAGAGAGAATTTGATAATCTTCTTTTATAATCCACTGTAAAATGAATTATTCATAATATTAATGTAATAGTATATATATGCAATATAATAATATGGTTGCTATTTAAATGTATAATGATGCATGACCGAATCCTTTTTTATTGTATATTTTCGAAGGTTCAACTATTTTCACTTCATCTTTTCCTTACATTGTAATTTTTTTTTGTGGCATGTTAAACTTGAGGCTTATTTGGTTTGCGTAACATTTTACGATGAAAGAATCGTGTTTAATCTTATGCTTATACGTCTTCAGCAATGTGAATTAGATTATTTAATTTATTTTACCCTTGCTTAGGTATTTAATTATGCTTTGTTTGCAACAACAACAACAACAACAACAAAGCTTTAATCCCACTACGTGGGGTCGGCTACATGAATCATTTTTCTCCACTGCATCCTATTTAGTGTCATATTTTTATTTAGTTCTAGTAAATTAAGATCATTTTTAATACAATAAGCCTAAGTCTTCCTAGGTCTACCTCTGCCTTTCTTAACACAAGTCGAATCTAAAACATCTACTCTCCTAATCGGATCATCAGATGGTCGACGTGTAATGTGACCAAACCATCTAAGACGACTTTATCTAATTTTGTCTGTCACAAGAGCTACACCAACCCTATCACGAATATATTCATTCAGCATTTTGTCTCTAAGTGTAAAGCCACTCATCCACCTAATCATTCTCATCTCGGCAACACTTAACTTATTA